CCTGGTGTCCAAAGCAGTAAGCCTGCATCCCTAGCTGGCCCAGTAACGCCCTGACCAAATTGCTTTACCTCGGTGAATAGCTCCAGTGCCGTCACTGTACACCAACACTTTTTTGCTGTGGTCATGTGCTGGGGCTCTGTGGTGGCCACTGAGACCCCAATGCCTTCATTGCTTGCCAACTCTGCACCAACACACGCAGCAGCTGCCTCGCAATCACCTCCACCTCCAGTGCTCCACAAGGATCCTGCCTACCCCAACATTGTTGTCCTTTCCGTTGCCGCTGAGGGTCCAAAGCAAAAAGTATGCCAAAAAGTATCGCAATAGTTTTAGCGAGCGTATGGCCAATCTGTCTAAGCAACACAAATATCTGAAAATCCAGAAATGCATAATCAAAAGTCCATTACAGTATTGAGCAAAATGCAAAATCATAGGTCTATCTGCTGGATGACCATGCCTTTTTGGCCTTGACAACATTGGTGAGCGCAGCCATCTGGCTGTTGACACAGGTGCGCAAACAACAAACAAACAGCCAACAGCAGCAAGTGTTGCTGTGACACTTGCTGATGCAGTTGTGGTTGAAGGGCGTGTACGACGCCAGCTGACGTCATTGGCAGAGGCAGATGGTGTTAGGCGTGGAACTGACTGGTTAGCAGCAAGAGGCACAAGACAGACCCAAAAAAAACCGAACCTTTTGTGACTGTCTGTTATTGTTCTCACGATGCCCATGGGAGAGCAAGCCACCGCCAATGCAGACCTGGGCGCTGGCTTGCGCTGATGACAAATACTCCGAGTAATAAGTGGAACAGAATCCCAGTGTCAACAGTTTTCCTCCTCTGCTCAAGCAGATAATATAGGAGAGGTTTTTACCCTGCGCCAGTCACGCTTGCCTAGCAACTATTACAGCGTGTGTATCATCATTATGTATCAATAATTCATAACAGAGTTTTTTCTCTTTCTCTCCAAGTTGGGGAGAAGGACCACCCACAAACACACATCTCCACTTCATTCACTCCTTCCACTCACTCACTCAGACTAGAGTGTTTACAGATGGACCAAGCAAAAGTGTTTGACCAAAAAATTTTGCAAAAGAGCCTACCTAAAATGCCCATGCCAGGCTGTTTGGGACTGACTTGAACCGTTTCTGATGCAAATTAGAGACTGCCAGGGGGGCTAATAATGAATATTCAGGCTTAGTTTAACTTTCCAGACTCAATGACTAGGAGGACTTCAACCTTTCCCAGAGATTGGAATCTGGCAAACTGCTGCTTTCCTTAGTGTAAGTCGCATCAGCAGCGACGACAAGGCCACTGTCGACACAGGAAGTTGGTTTCCTAGGCTCAAATCTCAACACTTAACAAAGTTGTGCCAAATTGAACAGTAATTAAAGTAGATATCATATTGTCGTTGCATCAGAGAATGTCCTGCCCAAGCAGATGTGCGTTGGTTGGAAAGAAAGAAACAACGTAATTTCCAGACTGATGCAAGTCTTGGCCCTGTCCCCAAAGCTTTCCTGTTTTAATTATCAAGGAATCAACACTCTTCCCTTTTTGATATCCTTCCTGAAGTTTTCTTCCTCCTTTTTTCTTTTCCTTTTTTCTTATAGGCATTTTCGTCTTTTTCAATGAATCTTTTACCTTTTTTTTTTCACTGTGGGTGCAATCTGGCCGTCTGTCTAGGCCCTCTTGCTTACAATTATGTCAGTTCAACGCCAGACAGACATTTTTGGTGAGAACAACAAGTGCACTAATTCGATTTTGAAACTCATCCACACACAGCCTGTGGTCACATCCAGACTCGAAATGGAGACCGTCTGTGTGTTAGACACACGTGATAACCAACTACACCATGTGACCTTACACACTCAGGCACAGAAGCGCACATCAGTGCCCAAAAAAATTTTGGTTTCACAACAACAGACAATCAGTCCAGTGGAAATGAACAAAAATGTGAAGCAGGGAAAGTTTCATGGCAGTAAGCGTGCCGCCTGAGAGCCAACGGCAAGCCTCTTCCCAGGAGGATGATGGTTTAGGCTGATGTCAAATTGAAAGGGACAGGGTGGAAGCATCCTGCCAGCACCTCACCAGCACTTTGCCCAGCACCACCTCGCAAAGGGCAAACAACTGTCCAGAGCACTCTCTCTGTCGTCAGATATGGACAACAACTGAACCCTGAATGCAAAGCTGAGTTCTATCAGCTTTTTGCCAAAGGGACCCCCTCTAGTCCCATCCCCACATTAATTTTTTTGGTTCCTTTCCAAGGGCTTTGGTTGTGTCTTGTCATAACACGTAGCAGGTTTTGGAGAATCGGGGTATCGATCCCTGTGCCTCTCGCATGCTAAGCGAGCGCTCTACCATTTGAGCTAATTCCCCACTCCTATGGAATAAAGTTTACACAAAAACAAAATCTGCAGGAACAGGGAAGTAGACGATCAGGAGAGAGAGAAACTGACAAAAAAAAAAAAAAAAAAAAAAAAAAAAAAAAAAAAAAAAAAAAAAAAAAAACAAACAAAACAGTAATGAATGAAAGGTGCCTTAGCTTCCTGTTTGTTTCCCCCCCAAGCTGATTCCACTTTTTTTGCCGCCTTAGAAAGAGTGCTATTTTCATGAAAAAATTGTGCTGAGAGTCTGACTTACCATCTAGAAAATTGAAACTTTACGTTGGTGCAGTTGTGCTGCATTGCCTTCTTCATCAAGGAGGAAGGCTACAAATGTTCTTACTTTACCACACAAATGCAGCCATCTTAGCTCATCTGGGAGAGCGTAAGACTGAAGAAGCCACCTGGAATCCCACCAGTTGGCTTGGCCATCTTAGGGCACCCGGTTCAATCCCGGGAGACGGCAGCTGGCTTCAGCATTGCTGTGCCCCATACGCCACACAAAACTGCCTTGATGGCATGATGCAGCTGGCCCCTGTGCACACCTCCAATGTTGTGTGTGTGACATTTGAGAGAACGTGAATTAGAGCCCACATGAGAGCATCCTTCAGCTTCTACAAATCCTTGAAGCCAAGGATTATCAACAAAAATGGTTCTACTATGTTTATGATTAGCTGGAGTGATTATAAACTATTGGGGGAGCTTCATTCACTTTTGCAAACATGTGAGCAAAAGGGACACAGAGTTAGGGCACAGGTAACAGATGGGAGGCAGATGCTTAACAGTCAGCTTGAGCCAAGTGGCTCCAAACAACCACTCTGCAAGTGTTCAGTCAGACTTAGAATGTGGGTTCCACAGAAGGGTTAGGGGGGGGGGGGGGGGGGGGGGGGGGGGGGGTGGGGGGGGGAGGTTCTCCCAGCTGAAGCAAGGGGTCTGCGTGTGTCATTTGAGCCTATTGCAAGCAGTAACAGCTGCGTGTACTGCAGCAAGGAGGAGTGCACGATGCCTCTGACACTGCACACAGATTTTGTCCACTCTCTATCACTATTCAGTTTTCCGCAGGAAGGGCTATATGATGACCCAAGAATAGGCCAATGGAGGGAGTTGTGATTATTCTCCTGATCAAATTGGGCGGAAAAATGCAGTGTGTTTTGCCTGGTTAGCTCAATCGGTAGAGCGTGTGACTCTTACAGCATGTGCGACATGTATGTGAGCCATCACAAGGCTGTGGGTTCGACCCCCACATCGGGCGTGTCCTCATTTTCTGTGGCATGAGCAACTTGATCTAGGGAGGGCATTGTCAGCTGCAGCAGTAGGATGAAACACAAACCCTGCATTTGATTCGAATGACCATTTGGGATTGATTCAAAAGCGATTCCATCATCAGTAAAATTTTCTTATGTCTGACTGTTCAGCCCAAAAATTGATAATTTACTGAATCAAATGGGCCGAATAACATGGGAAAATTGTCATATATATTCAGAAAATCAAATCAAATCAAATCAAACATTGAAAATGACTCGATTTGTGCTAGACCCTATTCAGCAGTTTGGGCATTTACAGTGCGATGAGGGAAAGGTGAATGTCTGTTAAGGTTTTCAGTCTCAAAGAGAAGCTTGGGACGTTTTGCCCTGTATCAGTGTCGAATTGCCAAAGAGCAAATTTCCTTGAGAAGGCAGTGTTTGCTTTTCAGACCCACCAAATTGGTTCACGCCTCTGCAGGCTGTCATACTGGGCAAAATGCTGACAACACTAACAATTTTTTTTTTTTTTTTTCTTTTTTTTTCTCGTGCAGTGCAGCCTGCAGCATGAATCTAATATGTCTGAACTGATATCAGATACAGAAAACCTCATTTTGGTATCCTTTGCGCATACTACTATTATGCCAAAACCCCATTTATCTGTTATCAGTGATATTTGGAACTTCAAGCGTGTGCTTTTACCCAAAAGACTTTGGTATTTGCAGTCATTAGACACGGTCCAGCATTGGGTCACTTTGTGCTGCAATTTTGCAAGGGGTATCTGACATTTTTTTGCTGTCACAGGTGCATGGCAGATGTCAGGAACAGGTCAGGACAGGACAAGGCAGACAAGGACCTGAGAGGAGTGATGATTATATTGGAAACAATAATTCACTTGAGGGATGGGACAGGTCCCCCATCCCCCTTTTATACCTTTTGAGAGTCTTCCTTGTCAAGACTCAAAGAAAGTTCCAGAAAGAGCAATTAGTAATACAATGATACCAATGACAACAAGACAAGTCAGGAAAGCAAAGAAGGTTCCAGAAGGTTCCACAAGGTTCCATGAAGGAATGTTCTAGAAGGTTCCAGAGGTTTCCAGAGGGTGATTCATAACAGCAGGGGTCCAGACAGAAAAATTGACCGCATTGCATTTCGTGAAGTCCAATGGCTTTTGGGGAGTGGTCCTTTGTTTGATTTACATACTTTGCCCTGCAGCCTGGCCTCTGAGTCTGCAGTGGCATGCCATTTTGAGAATGGAGACTCAACACAAAACCCAACAATCCTATGGTCATATGCAATCTCTGCCACACATTTTGAACGCTTCCTTGAATGGGAAAGTGTGAAAAGAATTGGATCAATTGGCAACCATCTCCAAACTGTAATATGCTGCCGTGGTGCAACTGGTTAGCGCGTGCGGCTGTTAGACATGGTCAGCAGCACACCGCCAGGTTGGTGGTTCAAGTCCACACGGTAGCGATAAGGATTGTAGATTTGTGTGGACTGTTGCTTGGCTGCTGACTCCCTTGGGGTGTTGGTCGGCATTCCATTGGGGTGTTAGCAAAGGCACACACGATTGGTAGGCTTGAGTAATAATTTCAACGTATCGACAACAGTTCTCTGGTTTTGTTGGACCCACTTGCATGTTTGAACCGTAGAGTTTCCAATGGGGAGGAGAAAAAAAAGTTGGTGGTCGGCATTCCATTGTGCAGGTCTCCTGCAGAGCTTGGAAGTTGGATCCCCAGACAGACAAGGGGAAAAACACCACCTGAAGATGCTCATGACAAAGTTCCTGCACCCTCAAAGTGCCAAGGGGGGCACTCTCAGGAAACCAAAACCATCACTTGCCAAAGCAGGGCCATAAGCGCCGGGTGTGGTCTTTACTTTCTGATTTTGCCATCATATGCTGCAATGAGGGCAACAATCCCCCTGATGCCACAAGCTTGCCAGCAGCAGAGCTGACAATGATTTCTAGCAGTGATGGACAGCTGCAAAGCGCTTTACAAGGAGCGTCTGCCACAGACCAGATCCCCATTTGGGTTTGATTTGATTTGATTCTGCTTTCCAGACCCAAATGACAAGAAAAAATGTATTTCCCAGACATTTGAATCTGACAAATGGCTGTTTTTGCACTCAAATTGCGCCAAATCAAATGGAATTTCGATTTTTTACTTATAAAACCTGAATCAAATTGAATTCAAATCACTCTATACTGGAGAATTCATTTGATTCAAGTCTGATTTGAATTCAAATCAAACTCAAATTTATTTCAGATTTGACCCGGTTCAGTCAGTGGCAGACCCTATTCAGGAGGAAAAGGTACAGCCTTAAGGCCACCCCCTTCCTTTGTTTACCTACAGGCTGCCGCCACTGGCCTGGGGGGTGGTCTCTTGCCCCAACCAAGAGCAACAAAATCTCTACAAACGCAAACAGCCTGAGTCAGCCATGAAGGATGTAACTGGATGTTGGACCGTGGACACAGTTTTTGCAGCCTAATGTTTTGCTCCAAATGTTTGTACAAAGGTCGGTGCCCGTGCACAAGATATCAGACAAATTGTAAAAAAAAAACAAAAAAATAAAAAAAAAATAAAAAAAAACGCAATCAGCACACCAAACCCACAGTCTGTCTGCATGAAATGCTGATTTGTCAGAAAGTCAAAACACAGATCAAAAAATCAGGAGGACAAAAACACAATATTTTTAAACTTAACCTGTCTGAGCAGCTGGCTGTTCCTTTGTTGTATTGTTACTGCTATTAGAAGCAGGAACTGCCTACAATACCACTTTCTGCTTTAAGAAGGAGATGGTTTGGTTGACTGAACTGTGGTGTGGCAGCAGGTGAGTGGCTGCATGCATCATGGTTATGAGATCTCCTCTTCATCTTCAGGGGCTCATCTATAGTCTAGTGGCAAAAGGGATAAGACAAGTCTTTAAGATGGGAAGCTCCTGGTTATTAGCAGAGCCAGTACCCTGGATTCAGCTCAAACTCAACAAAGATGGATGATGTGGTTCAATTCTGTCTTTATTCAAGGACAGCTAGACCAAGTAGAGTTGCTCAATGAAGAGTACCCCACAGGCCCCAGGTTCAAGCCCTGACTATCCAACATGGTACCAACAGGCAGCAGTTCAACAAGGGGATGCCCTAAGGCAGTATGGCATCTGCCAGTATCACAGAGACAGAGCTCATGTGAGAACCAACCAGGTAGGGGAAGGAAGAGAAAGGAAAGGGAAGGAAACTCACCCCAGCTTTGGCATACAACACACTGGCCTGGGGAAATCATACCTCTACTAGCTTTGTCTGGTAGCACTGGCCTAAGAGGACTCCATCCCCAGCTTGGTCTGGTACTGCAACTCGACCCTCCCAGCCCATCTTCTTGTTACTCCCTTCCCCACCACCGTTTTCACACCCACACCTTTCCCACTCCTCACCTCCCGCCACTCCACTTTCATGCCAGCTCCACTTCACGAATCCCTGCTTTCACCAATGGGACGTGCCCCTCCTCCCTGACCTTGCTCATACCCACCCATCCTTGACCTTTGACACCGATGGCTCCCTTCGCGAGGAGGGATTCATGGCTGGCTCTGTT